GTAACCAACAAAGAAAATGTCCTCCAATAGATAAACCTTCCCTTAACTTTTACAATAACAGACTAATACAATATTTGTCCTTTTGTGACTGATTTATTTCACTCAGCATAATGTCCTCCAAGTTCATCCATGTTATGCGGTGTTTTGCAGATTCTACACTATTCTTTAGCATTGCATAGTATTCTATTGTGTGTATGTACCATAGTTTGGTTATCCATTCCTCAGTTGATGGACATCTAGGTGCGGGTGACCTTTCTAACTATCAGTCTTCCCCTCTGCAGAATGTTAGCAAATAGAATGTAGCCCTTGTTAGCTGCATGGGGTTGGCCTCTCACTCACAGAGGTAGGAAACCCCAACTTGTCCTGCGCCATCCCCATGTTCGGTTGTAGATCAGACCATTGTGATTTGCAGGGCTTTCACTGGCTGATTTCTGTAAGCAGATCACCAGGCCTTTATTCCTAGTCCATCTTAACCTGGGGGCTCTGCTGAAACCTGTTCAGCATCATAGCAACACAGCAGCCTCCACTGACTGATGGGTGGGAGCTACACATGGGGTGCACTAGCCAGGAATCACACCCAGGTCTGTTCCACAGAAGGTGAGAATTGTACCACTGAGTGACCACTGCCCCCAACATGTGTGGGGTTGAATCAAATAATTCCTTACCTACTGTTAATATCTGGGTGCACTCCTTCTGGTCATTTTTCTTTTCCTATGCACATGTTTCTACGTATATAACCTGTTTCATTGTGTATATACAGTGTTGGGTTCTGAATGTTTTTCATTCACTATTATATTGTGAACATTTTCCTACATTATTAAAATGTCTTTCAAACCAGTGTTTCATGGCTGCTTGATACTTTGTCCTGTGGCTTCACCATAATTATTTCACTCTGGTAACTAGTGTTTTTGCAAAACTCACTTGAAATGGATGCACCATCTTCAATGAGCTAGATTCTTCATTTATAAGGACTGTTGCAGAAAATCCAATCAGGATAAGAGAAGCAGTTTTCACCTAAAGATTTTTCTTTTTTCCAAGTAGGCATCATTCCCAGTGTAAAAGAGGTCAGAGTCGTCCATGTATAGCTAACTCTTGCATGAATCAGACCGTTTTTTTTTCCCCCCACTATTTCTTGGTGCTCATATATATGAGGGATTTTATGCACTTCAGAGCAATTAAGGATTCACTTTTCATGTTTAGGTCCCTTATTCTCAGAATCACAAATCAGTTTCCTCTGAAAATATGATTTGACAATATTTTCATCTTCATGGGCAGTTTAAAAATTCAGGCCAAGCTGACCAGCCATGGGGAGGGGTGGAGGCCTTGGAGAGAGGCTTCTGTGGCCCCACTGGGGGGCAAGTCCTCCACACTCAGTATCTGCTGTGCAGGCCACTTTGCCCAGCATAACTGGCTTAAAATTTGGAGCTTGGAATCTCTAGTCCTGGCTTTGTTGCTGGCTGTGTGACTTTTGGAAAATGTACTGACCTCACTGTGCCTCATTTTTCATGCCTGCAGAAATGCAGATGCCATTTTTGCTGTGGCTGAAACTTTGCCGGGAGAGAGAACCAAATGGAGATCATCTCCCGAGCACTTGGTACCGTATGTGGTTGTCATTAGCTGCTGTGGAGTCAGTCCATGACTCACGGTGACCTCACACACAACGGAACGAAATGCTGCCTGGCCCTGTGCCACCCCTTGATTGGTTTGGGATCGAGCTGCTGTGATCCATAGGTTTTCATTGGCTGATTTTTTGAATATCCTCGGGTCTTTCTTCCTAGTCTATCTTAAGTCTAAAAGCTCCATTGAAACCTGTTCAACATCATAGGAACACACAAGCCTCCACTGACAGACAGGTGGTGGCTGAGCATGAGGTGTATTGGCTGGGAATCAAACCCAGGTCTCCCACATGGAAGGTGAGAATTCTACCACTGAACCACTAATGTCCATGCTGTATAAATTCTTAATAATGATAAAAGTATTAATAATAAACACTGCTGCATAAAATTTCATAGTCCCCTTTTAAAATACTGTTTTGCTTCATTTTACATATTTTTTCACTTTTTAAGATGATTTCAAATTTACAGAAAAAAAAAATGTAAGAATAGTACAAACAACTCCTATATACCTTTTAACCAAGGAGCTCTGGGGGTGTGGTGGTTAAGGTATTTGGCTGCTAACCAAAAGGTCAGTGGTTCAAACCCACTAGTTGCTTTGCAGAAGATAGATGGGGATACCCGCTCTGTAAAGATTGACAGCCTTAGAAACCCAATGGGGGTCGCTATGACTCAGACTCAACCCAAAGGCAACAGTTTGGTTTTGTTTACCTTTTAACCAGATTCATCAGTACTTGACACTTGCTACATTTTATCATTCTTTTTATATATACATGAGGGTCTGGGGGCGGGGGAGGTGCATATGGTTAAATGCCCTTAGCTGTTAACCAAAAGGTTGGAGGTTGGGAGCCACCCAGAGGTGTCCTGGAAGAAAGGCCTGGTGATCTACTTGTAAAAAATCAGCCACTGAAAACCCTGTGGGGCACAGTTCTTCTCTGACACGCATGGTGCTACCATGAGTCAGAATCAACTCAATAGCAACTATTTTTTTGATACATATGAATTACATTTTTTCCGAATCATTTCAGAGTAGGTTGCAAATACCACGCCCATTTATCTCTCATTATTTTAGGGTGTGTTTCCTAAGAATGAGAACAGTCTCTTCCATACTTACCTTGGTACAGTAATTAAAACTCTAGTCCATATTGTAATTCTTTTGTAGCCCCACCTCCACACAGGATCCAGTCCAATGTAACACTGCATTTAGATATCATGCACAGCTACATTCTAATTTCTGTTTTGAACTAATGCTTATTTCTCTGATTGTGAAAGTTTACACGTGCTCAGGGTAAAACATTGACAAGGTAAGGAGTAAAACTTGCAGTTACCTTCTGAGGTTTTACTAGAACGGCTGTGACGTGACCATGTTCACAATAGTCATTATGTCATCTTTAAAATGGTCAGAAAAGCGTGTCCTCCGAAAACTGTCCCTTTTGTTTGTGTTGTGTACATACTGGGCCATGCTTTTCACCTGCAGAGAGGGTGGGGAATGTCAACGTGAAAACTGGTGAACCGCTTGTATGATGTGGACGATGGCACAGACTTAAGGAAAAGCTCATTCCCCAAGGCCTTTCTAATGCGGAGTTGTCCCAGGGGCTGCCCGAATGGGCTCCAGGGTGGAGCATGCTCCTGACACATGGATGGTTACCATGGTGGCCTTGAAAGAAGAGGTGGGGAGGGTGTTCTCTCCTTGACCCCAATTCATGGGACTTGCTTCTTGCTGCCAACAAAGCTAGGGAGCCTAATGCATTAGCTCCAGTGTCAGCAGACACCCCTTCTCTCTGCATCCGGGAAGGCAGACCTCGCCAGCTCCATACCCACCGGGGCATCCCTATATCATAGCTCAGAACACGAGACCGAGGACGGTCTGTTTATGGTACTGTGGCTCATGTGGACTGAAGCCCTTTCTGTCCTTAAAGCTACAGTAAGGAGAAGAAGGGATGCATGTCCCTCCTGTCTTGAGTGCCAAGTTGAGCAACCATTTTGTCCAGAAAACAAAATTCC